GGGAACAGTGGGAGCGTGGGGCACGGGGGCTTTGTGTCCTAAGAGCGACACTCCAGGGAAGGGAAATTCTAACCCGCAATGTTTCTGTTCCCTTGAGCTACAGCCTTAGTTCCTCTGAGAGACCCCGTCTGGGCAGGATGTTCAAGGCCAGAGCTAGCCCCTGCTGCCGTTCCTCACAGTCCCCACAACCCTCCTGACAGAGAGCCCTCATTTCTCAAGGCCGGACTGCCTTTTCTGGAGCCTTCGCTCCATGCGCTCACAGCCTGAGCCCTTGAGGAGCCTGGGGCTCTCTGGCTCCTCTGAGATCCTGAGATTAGAGTCAGTAGAAAGTGGAAGAAAAATCTATGAGACTTCGCTTTCTCTGTCTCTCTCTCTCAAAAGGCAGCCCCCAGCAGTGTTTGTTCTCAGAGAGGCCCCGAGAAGAAGGACGGTCACTTCCCTTTCTCTGGGAGATAATTGAAGAGAAGTAAGAAAGTACCTGTGTTTGAAGGCGTAATGATGACAATTAATCTCTAAGCAGAGGGCCTCACCGTTAAATTCTTTGGAGAAACAATTCTGGGAGTTTAATGACAATCAAGAGAGTGAAATTGAATTGAGAGAAGTAGTAATTAAATCAGGAAAGAAGTTTTTGCAAAGGGGATGGTAAAGGAAATTAAAACCAGTAATGCTGAAAAATGTGGTGGGCAGAGCAGGGAGGCGAGGAGCTTGGTGGAGAAGAGGAAGGAGCAGACGCAGCCCAGCGGGTTGGGAGGGCTAGTGTCTGGCACCAGGAAAAGGAATTTGGAACCTGTTCTCCTTGAGAGGCCAGGTATGTGACTCTTCCAATTCGGGGCTAACTATGCCCACCTCCTAAAAGGGACAAGATCTTCTGTAGGACAATAGAAGTCTCCAGTCAGATAGAGTAGAAAATAGCAGTAGATTTGAAGTAAGGTGACCAACAGTCCAGGTTTGCCCCAGACCCAGAATTATTTTTTAATAACTTTCCTGGGATTATTGTTTCTTTGCACACGAGAGCCCAGGAGTCTGAGCTGTGTAGACCAGAAGAGAGCAAGGGGAGGATGGAAGGGAAGAAGGGTGGAGAGGAAGAAGAGAAAGAAGTAAAGGAGAAGGGGGAAAAAGGGAAGGAAGGAGGAAAAGAGAAGGAGCAGTGAACTGGGTCGGGCTCTCAAGCCTGTAGCAGGGTCAGAGCTTGGTGAGAATACCTCACCGCTCACCTAAATTTAATTTGGATTTATGACAAAGGCCACCAACAGGCAGGGCAAAGGATGCCCGGGGCATTAACGCCAATGTTTCCCAGCTCCCTGGTGTGTGTCACAGAGGTGTAACCCCCCACACCAGATCCCGCAGCTCTCCCTCAGGGAGGCTCCCTGCCAGTGACACCTCAGGGATGGACCGGGGGTTGCCACACCAGTATCTGATGGCCCACCCAGCCAGGATCATCACACGCTTGCCCCTTTCATTCTGTCCTGCCTCCTGGAGCCGACGGCAGGTTCCAGCTCAAGGGGCCTGTTGCAGTAGGTCCCAGACCTAGAGTTACAAGCTGGGCGGTTGGACCTTCTGTTTCCTATTGTGTAAAATAGGGCAAATAGTCAATTCATTCACTTGTTGATTCAATAAGAAACCTCCATCTCCAAAATTATTGAAAACAAGTACTTGTTGGGTACCTGGGTGGCTCAGTCGGTTAAGCATCTGCCTTCGGCTTGGGTCATGATCCCAGGGTCCTGGGATTGAACACTGGGCTCCCTGGTCTGTGGGGAGTCTGCTTCTCTGTCTTCCTCTGCCCTGAACTCTCTCTCTCTCACGTGCTCTCTCTCTCAAATAAATAAAATCTTAAAAAAAAAAAAAAGAAAAGAAGAAAAGAAGCACTTGTTAACCATTAGCTAATTAACAAGGCACTCGTGCATCTTTTCTCTCACTTATCCTTTTTGGTGGGAATCCTCATACCATGGGCAGTGACATAAAAGACAAACGAGAGAACAGAGGAAGAAAGGGGATCAACCACGATCTCCCAACTGGTAAAACGCAGGCCCGGCACGTGAACCCAGGTCAGTACACCTCCACGTCTGGAAGATGGGGCAGTAAGCACACTAACTTTGGATGCCCAAGTAGCGGCCCCAGAGTCCAACAGACTTGGTCCTGGCCTGAGCCCTCCTCCTGCAGCATTTGAAGTGAGGGGTGACGTAGCGCTTTGCAGGACTCAAGAGCAGGACACTGCACAGAAAAACTCCATATAGCGTACGTGATTTTCTGTTGAATAAAGCCAGCTTTGTAGACATTTTCCTCCATTTTAACTTGATGCCAACACTTGTAACATTTCAGAATGTCTTTTTCAATTCTTTCTATGACATCAGCCCCTGGAAAAAATACTGGAGTCTAGACCAAGCCAGGTGTGGAAACAAAAGCTCTGGCAGGATCCCCCTCTCCCAGGAACAGAGCTCGCACCCAGTTTTACTGGAATGTGTTCAGGCTACTAGTGGACTCAGGGGCCCTCATCCTTCCGTCCCTCACTAGCCTCAGGGACTCTTGGGCCCTTTCCCCAATGATTTAAAAGGCTCCACCCACACTGCAGTTATAATTCATCTTCGCAGTTCTAATCTCTCAGCACTTCTGCTTAGCAGGTGCTGGCTCGTAGCCACTCGGAAGGGGCTAGAATGAGAGCCCACAGTGAAAGGGGTTTGAGAATTCTCTGGGCCAAGGCAAACAATGCAAGTAAAGATTTAATTTGTTAGGGGGCGCCTGGGTGGCTCAGTGGGTTAAAGCCTCTGCCTTCGGCTCAGGTCATGATCCCAGGGTCCTGGGATCGAGCCCTGCATTGGGCTCTCTGCTCAGCAGGGAGCCTGCTTCCTCCTCTCTCTCTGCCTGCCTCTCTGCCTACTTGTGATCTCTGTCAAATGAATAAATAAACAAAATCTTAAAAAAAAAAAAAAAAAGATTTGTTAGGCTTTCAGAATTGCTATGAGTGGCTTATGGTCGCCTAGGACTCAAGAAGTAACCCTCTAGAAATCTCTGAAAGAAAGGAAGACAAAAGGTGGTATGTACATACAATGGAACATCATTGAGCCTTCAAAAGACTGACCTCACAGGCTGAGGAAGGGACTCGACACACACTACAACTTGGATGAATCCTGAGAGTCAAAGTCAGAGACAGAAATTCGAAGGGTGGTTTGTTTGCCAGAGGCTAAGGGGAGAGGTGCGGGAGAGGGGAGTTGTTATTTGGCAGGTTTCAAGTTTAGGTTTTGCAAGATGAGAGAGTTCTGGAGATGGCGGGTGGTGATGGCTTCACAACACGCCACGTGCTCAGTACCCTTGACCTACGTGCTTAAGGACGGCGAATACGGCGCATTTTGTGCTATGTGTATTTTAGCCCAGTTTTTCAAACTGAGAAAGAAAAGAGAAAGGAACAGCTTGAACACTGAGATTCTCAGCTATGGGATTAGCATTGTACCACCAGAGCCAAAAGCAGCTACGTAACATAATAGATGTTGTACAATTTTATATCCAACCACCAATTTTCTTTCTGCTGAATGAAGCATCTCCCTGCTCACCACTGAAAACTAGCATTTCCCTATAAATTGCCAGCTCCCAAAGCCCCATGACTTTTGGCTGTCAATCCACTGGAGACCACTATGAGGCACACGGGGCTAACAGGCAGCATCTTGCAGGGAAGAGAACATACCCCCAAGAGCAAACAGCTCCTCCAAGGGGCTTCGGCATCTCCCCCAGAGAAAAAGACACCCCTCTAGACAGAGGAAGAGATTTCATTTGCAAATTAAATACCTAACTTTTAGCTGTTACTGGAACCATTAACCTGAGTATCAGGAAAAAAAAAAAAAATCCCATTAAATCTTTAATTTCTTCCAAGGGAAACTGACTCTTTCCCCTGAATTTCAAAACGAAGACAGCTGCTGCCTTTTCGTGCAATGAGCAGTGCCCAGGATCCAAGGGAGCCAGTTTTTCATTTTCCCCCAATAATCTCCATTTGGATTTACAAGTGCATGCTCGCCCATATACTGCCTTAGGAAATCTGTTTAAAAGACACATACTTCTCATCATTTAAACCTGGTTCCCCAGACCTAAAATTACTCCGCAGCCAGGACTCAAGAAATACACTAACGAAGCTGCTTAACTGTTCTACGAAGTTTTCCTTAAATGGACCTGAGAAAGAGATTTTTTAAATTCTCTATTTTTCAACTAATACACCTCTTCATTTTGTGATCTGCACAACAATCAGGGCATTTCATATGGATCTCTCTTTAGAAATCCTGGCTCAGAGTCCTGGGCTCCCAGAACATGCGCACTGAGCTACACTGGGTGTTTCCTAGGGTCGACGAGAAAATGAATGCTTACACCCAGAAAGGCTACATAAGCTAAGCGAAACCTTAAAATTTTATTTTGGGTTAGAATTGTATCAACTCAGTTCAGAAGTGCTGGTATCTCACTCTGATTATGAAGGTCCCTTAATTATTGTCCCTGATTATTACAAATGAAAATTTTCCAAATGAAAACAAAGTTTTATTTGATAAATCCAATTTACCAAATAAATTCTTTCAGAACAGTTTTAGCGACTAGTGAGGAGTCAATGGAAATCTCTGGTCTATGCTCACAGAATTAAGAACTGAGAGAGACAAGAGGCAAAAATATTATCTACAGTTTCAGAGACAAAGAACAGAATGAACAAACATTTTATCCAAGATATCTGGTTTATGATCCCTATGTCTTCTTCCCTGGGTACCAGCTGCCTCTGAACACAGATCTTCCTGATGGAGTCACAGGCACACGCTTTAATAATCACAAACACACAAAATTACAATCACCAGGACATACCTGGAAGAAAGCAAACCATGGCCAATGACAGTATCTTGGATTTGAGGGACTACATGGTCATATAAGGAATTGTTAATCCAACAAAGAAAACAATCTCCCCCTCGTGTTTTCTCCATACTTACTCACAAATCTAAAGGCAGAGAGACTACCGGCTCTAGCAGATATCAGCCATGAGATTTGGTATAAATCAATTAAAAAGTTTATTAGTCATAGAAAAAAATTGATTCCTTAAAGTCAATTCTTGTTAAGTTCCCTGTAAAACAACAAGCTTACAGAGTATTTCTCTCTCACAAACAGAAAATCACTACGCTTTTGGTCCAAGATACGTTGGGTTTTTTCCTTCTTCTTCAGATGACAGACGGATGGATGCAGCCGAATCTATGAACGAGTGTACTTGCCCCAAATGTGCAACATAAATACAGAAGCGATGAACAGAAGACTCATAACCAATACTGGGACAGGGCCACTGGAAGGAAGAAGAGAAGGCATGCTTACTCCGAGTAATATCACATATTATAGCTGTAACACTAAAGACTGCCGGGGGAATAAAGCAGCCCTTCACTAAATCAAATGCTTCTCAAATTGAGAATTAGTACATGGGTTTCTTAAAGGGAGAACCCCCTGAACTCACACAACCTGTGAATGCTGACTCTGAGGAAACGCTATGGGGCCCTCCTCTGTGACTCTTCCTGCCAATTCTGGTTTTGGAGAATTCAAGACGTCATTTCCCCTCCCAGATACAACTGGGGAGTGGACAACAGAAAAGACCCCAGAAATCTTTACAGTGAAGGCAGTGGAGTAACCCAATGGAGCAGTGGAGTAACAGAGTCCACTAGTGGCCAAAAGACAATGCACAGAGATCAAAGTCCTTGCTACACTATTCTGTTCTTCCAAAATCTGTACAATTCTGGGAATAAACAAATTTAAAAGTACATGGGAAGTAATCTTCATGGAGTTACACCTAATCACTCCCCTCCTTTGGTGCAACGTTAGAGCAACAGGAGACACAGAGCACGAAGCCGAGAGCGCAGCTCCCAGAGAGCTGGAATTCGGGAACCAGCTCTGTCAACCATGAGCGGTGACTGTGGCCCTGTTACTTACCTTCTCCGGCCTCATTTTCCTCATCCGTAAAATGGGAATAATCCCAGTGCTTCTCCTATAGGGTTGCTGAGGTACTAAATAAGTTCATATGAACACAATGCAGGGTTATAGTAAGGTCCCAGGAGATGCTATTATTGGCCTGAAAAAAAATTTTTCTCAACTCCCGGGAAGAACCAGCAACAAGTTCCAAGCTGTGGATCTGGAGATACAAATTCCCAACTGTGTCTTTTCACTGAAAACATCTGTCTCTCACTGATGATCAACTGCGGCTGAGGACACTTCGGGACAGCTTCTATCCTGGGGGGCTCACGTGGAGAGCAGCAGCAGGCCAGCCAGCTGTCGGAGAGCACAGAGCCGAGAGCTAGCGCAGGCCAGACGCCCCAGGACAGCTCTGACCGGCTGACTGAGAAGAGCATACAGCAAGTCCCCTGGAGACCCTGAGGGTCAGGGGGCTTCACGATTTCTCTCTGAAATGCTCACAAAGATTACCTCAAAACAAAGACTAAAAGGTTTTTCATGCCACCAACTCACAAACCCCAACCCCAGCAATGCTTTCCGAAACTCATCCCCGTCTTACCACGACAGAATAGTAAAAAATCACTCAATAAAACCAAATCTCAGGGAAGCCTTCGTCAACTACCCTGGCGATCCAAGCCACCTTATGAGTTAATGAAACTAATCCAAATAAATCGGATTTTGTCTCCTTCTGCCAGATAGCAGCAGCAGTACGGAAAGAGCATGGGACTGAACAGTCCGAAGACGCAGCTCCGGCCCCTGCGGGCTGTCTTCCACGTACAGGTAACTGCCTCTGTGAACCAAGCGGCTCTGCGGACAGGAGTGCGTCATTATGCCAATGCCTCAGGCACCGGGTTCAAGCAGGAAACAGCTGTAAGCAGGGGTGTTCAGGAGCCTCGCGCAAACAGACCTGTGGGACCAGCTCGGCCACGTGGTATCAGAAACCACGGACAGAAAGTGAGGCGAGCGAGGCCTGGAGACTCTGGATGCCCATTTCCCATCACCTAATGAGCACTCCCGGACCAAAGAACTTAAGCCAGTGGTTATGTTCACCCGCCAGGGTCACCCACCACCCACCAAAGGCGAAGGGGGGCTGAAGAACTTTTGGTAACACAGCCTAAAACAGACACTCCCATTAGGCTGTAATAACATCAGCTTGTGCCTCCAGGAGAGCTCTGAAAAACCAGCCAGCTCCAATTCAAGTGGTTACTCCTATTTCTCAGTGTGGGACAAGAACAGCAAATGAGGAGCAATTTCATCTAATTAAGCAGTTTCCCCTCCAGTTCTCTCTGTTCTCGTCATTAATTCTGACACAGCTGCACGCAGGTTTTTCCCTTGCTTTCATCCAATCCATGGAGATGTTATTCCAGGCTCTGAACTAAATGACTGATACGCAGACAAACCAAACCGAGCCCACCTGGCACGAATGAAGCTGTTGGGTACAGTACATCTCATCAGAGCCAACGCCACCGGTGGAAGACACTGCACTCCCCCACACATGTGTGACACTCAGAAACACAAGGTCTGTTCCCCAACACTTACACCTTGAGCCCAGGTGAGTCTTCTGTGTAGAATCGCCACATGCCCCCAGTGCCTGCTGAGGTCGTGCGCCCCGCGCTCCTTGTTCCACAGCTAGCATTTTTTCTGGAAGAAAAGAAATATTACAAAAAGGTTTTTCTCAGAAGCCCTTACCATAGTATTGAAACATACGCTCCCACTACGTTGTTAAAGAAAAAAAAAAAACAAAAAACCAACACTTTCTTTGCTAGACCCCCCCCACAAATTCTTGCTTTTACTTCATTGATAGTGATTAACCACCAAGGACCGAGTACCTGCCATATGTTAATGAAGACAATCACCCCAGAAAGTAGTCACCATTTCCAATGTATAAATGAAGGAAACAGGCTCATAAAAGGTTAGGTAAAGTGCCTGGGACCACACAACCAGCAGGCAGCCAACCTCAGCAGTGAACCCAATTCTGACCCCAGAGCCTGCCCACTTGCCCACACACATGGGCACCTCATTTGAACAATGAATTTCAGTTTCTCTTCTCAAGTATTTTTGTGAAGTCAAGTAATAAACCCCTGCTTAAAAAGCCCTGAATCCATATAATCTGATTTTAAAATGACTACATTAAAATGTTTTTAAGTTACTGTATATACTACCAAAGAGAAAAAAACAATTAAGCTTTCGTTGTCATCCAGGTCCTAAAATGGAGTGTACGTTTTATAAAAAATTATTTTATACCTGTTTTCACTATTTTTATATACTTGATATTTTTTATATATTTCACTATTTTGAATATATATATTCACTATTTTGATATGCCATAGATCTTGGGTAGAAGTAGGATGTAGAAAAGCGCAGAAAACACCCCAGCCATAACGTGTCCTCCTCACAGGAGATCCCAGGTCTGTGAGATGAGCTGCGTGACACGGGAAGCCCAGGCTCACAGGAATAGCCCAACAGCACTCGTGCCGTCCACCAGAGAACACAGGGAGAATCTAGAAGTGAAAACCCTATTACACCATCTCTTCTCACTGCCTTTCCAACTCTGTTCATAATCCCCACCTCCCCCTGCCATGGCCTCTACCCCAAAAGCTAGTGCAGACATATTGATTACCAGCTACATAGTGGACCAGGAACTCCTTAGTCCATGTGTATCACTGTTTCTATGAGATAACTGATGGAAAACAGTAAACATAATTGTACAAGGATTTACACAGCAATTCATACACTTAGAAGAGCCTTCACACACAAGGCTATACATCATTTAAGCTGTGAGGTAGGCACCTGAAATTTTTCTCCTTGGTCGTTAAAAGGAACTTGAGCTAGATGGTAAACCCACTGTGGACATGAGAAGTCATCAGCTGAGCCAGGACTAGGACCCATGCACTTTCCCCTATTCCCATAGCCTTCCAACTGCAGTGCCTGTTCTCAAAGTCTCTGGAATTACACGAGCCCCAAAGAAATCAGTCTAGGCTCTTTAAGATCTCTTACACCTACTGGCACGTGGGACATGCAGAGGATTTGATAACCAGGGTAACTGGAAATACCAAATGTACTCAAAATATCTCCCATTCCTCCACTGGAAAGCCAGGGAGAAGTTAACAGAGCCCATTTAATCGTTTACGTTTCTGTTAGGGGTCTATTTTACCCTTTCTTTTTGGCCACAGTGTAACTGCCTCCCTCTTCCTATACCCTATGGTTCTTTCAAATATCCCAAGATTACAGGGTGGCTTGATTCCTTCATTTATTCATCATTTATTCTGTCAAGTCTTACAGCTGGATACGGATGACGGGCCACTTCTGCCAAAATCTAATGGAGATAAATATGGAAACATGAATGCTATTATAACCCCATGAACAAAACACTTTGGCAGCAAAAGAGAAAACTCACAGCTGCTGCTGCTTTCCACGTCAGGGAAGGCGTCAAGAACCCCTGAGCTTAGTCTAGCAGAATAAACAGAAGTGGGGGGAGGGGTCATCTAGTGAGTTCAGCAGTAATAAGCTCACTGCTGCTGGATCAGCAGGGAGAAGGAGAGGCAGGTGGGCTCAAGTAACACCAAGAGCATTGGTATCCACCCTTTTTTCAAGTTCAGCAACAAGAAACTGAGATAGGAACTAAAAAGATGTGTGACAGAATCAGAGGGGAGGGCAGATTGGAGTAGAAATGACCTGGAGAAAAGACTTAGGTAGGAAATGCAAACATCCAGATGAGAGAAGTTGGGCTAAACTGGAAGAGTGGACATGAAAACGGGAAACAATTGATGAGAAGCTGTTCCTGAGCCATTCGGTCCTGCAAATGACTAAACAGACAGGGCATAGGAAAAGCACACAAGGACCCTGAAGTTTTGGCCTTGGGGAAATGAATGTATAGTAGTAGTGCTGGATGGAAGTAAGAGAGATAAAATTGGGGCAGAAGCTAGGATGAAAAGAGACTGAGTTTTGCATGGGACAAGTGACAGAGTGTGATGGGACCTGCAGATCAAAACGTGACTGCAAAGCTTAGATCGAGACACACGAGTTTAATGACATCAGTTTTCTCAAAGTTGTCTCTGAGACAACACACTCCAATTTGTTGGCTTTCCTCTTACAAGGATGCCCCAAGGTGCCCCAAACTGAGTAATTACAAGAAAACATTGACGTCTTCTCAAGACACACAACACCTACGGCCACGTCGCCTGAAGTTCGGTGTGCACTTGTGACTCTTTTCATCCCGGGGTCTCCTCCCCCGGACCAGCGAGTTCTTGGGCCCCATCTCTCCGAGCCCACAGCCAGAGGGTCGCGGGGGTCCTTACCTCTGCCGGACCGTGGATCCGGCCGCCCGGGCGGCCACTGCTTTGCTGGGAGAGCGCCCCGACGAGCCCACACTAGTGCCACTGGGGGTCGGACCAGGCTACAGAGAGAGACAAGTGGACAAGCTGGTGAGCGCCCCGCCACGCGCCCCCGACCCCCCCGGTCCTGACGATCAAGACCAGCACCTGCAGGGGAGGCTGGGGAAAGCAAGAGTGCTACAAGAGGAGGGCAAGGCGGAAGGCCAGTGTCAGGGCGAAGAGGAGAAGCGGGATCAAGGAGGGAAGGCTGTAGGGAAGTAAGTAGGAAAGCCGCCGTACCATGCTGAAGACTGAAAGGCGCTGGACGCTGAAACTGACGTCCAAGAAGCGGTCGGCGGACTCCTCAAAGGAACGGCGGCTGGAGGGGCTGGATCAGGCCCCGCCCCCAGGCCCCACGCAGGGTCCTCGCCGGCTCCAGGGACGCCTGAGTTGTCCCACCATATGCCTGTACAAATTTTGTTACAGGCGACTTGGTCAACCGCTGTGTGGGAAGCACAGACCTTCCGCCTCCTTCCGTTGAATCACAGCGTCCTTCATAGAGTCTTATCCCTACCAAAGGGCGGATATACCCACGGTCAGACGGGAAATTTCTTCTGGCAGACAGAGGGCGCCCGCAGCTTTGCGCTGATGTGGCCCAACTGACGCAAGCGCCGCGAGGCGTGGTCGGCCCGGCAGAGGCCCGCTGGGAGCCGGGAAGGAGCATGCGCGGAAGTTCGGTAGGGCGCGGGGCGGTGGCGGGGTTTCTCTACCATGGCGGAGAGGCTGGGCGAAGATGAGGATCTTGGTCCCAACCCGTCGGTGCTGTTCCTGCACCCGGACCTGGGCGTAGGCGGCGCCGAGCGGCTGGTGCTAGACGCGGCGCTGGCCCTGCAGGCGTGCGGATGTAGCGTCAAGGTCTGGACGGCGCACTACGATCCCAGCCACAGCTTCGCGGACAGTCGCGAGCTGCAGGTGCACTGCGCCGGGGACTGGCTCCCGCGCAGCCTGGGCTGGGGAGGCCGCGGGGCCGCGGTCTGTGCTTACGTGCGCATGATCTTCCTGGCGCTCTACGTGCTGTTCCTCGGCGATGAAGAGTTCGACGTGGTCGTGTGCGACCAGGTGAGGCGGCCGCGAGTGCGGCCACGCCCGACCCTCGCCTCGCCTCCTTTTCCCGCTAGGGAGGGCGCACTGCATGGCCTCTCGTGAGCTTTCCCGGCCTGCGGCTCAGAGAGCTCGGAACTGATCTGGAGAGGAGAGAACTGGGCGTGAGACTGGTTCTCGGACTGTAGTGTGGACACATTAAAGTTGCACGTTGGTACAGGACCCCACCCTCAGAAGCTTTCATCCTGGAGTCCTGAGGTTGGGGCCCAGAAATCTGCAGTTTCGCCGGGGATCTTCAGGCGATTCTGAAGTAGATGGGTCTTGGGGCTTCTCTAAGAAACGCAAGCATTAGCAGTCAACCTTAAGTCACCTTTTACTAATGAGTAACTCGTAGGTCTTCCCTTTTTGCATTAATTATGTTGACTCTACTTCCAGGCCACATGCATCCATCCCACTGTGTGTAGCTTTTGCAGACAACCCACCTCGTCCGCAATGTTGTGTTAAAAACGCCAAGTGAAACATGTCATCCCCCGTTAAAGTTTTAACATGGCTCCCTCTTAGTCTTGGGAGAAGTCAGTTTTTTACCTCCATAAATAATGTCCACCTGCCTCTGGGCTCTAGCCATTTCGGACTCCGCTTTTTCTTCCCCAAAAGTACTTTATTTTGAAAAGTAACATTTACTCGGAACAAAAATTCCAATAGTATAAAAGAGTGTGATATAAAAGTCCCATCCCAGTTCCACTCCCTAAAGATAGCCACTGTTAGCAGTTTCTCCTGCATCCTTCCAGAAATTGCCTGTAGCTGCACTAGCAGATATATCTGTTCTCACTTGGATCTTATTTGTAATAATGTGGACTATGACATACCTGCTGTTTGATGACTTGCCCTTTTTTTCACCAGAATTCCTATTTGGGACATCCTTATATGTCAATATTAGAGCTTCACTTCATGGTTCTCAAAGGTTGCTGGAAAATCTGCTTTTGTTTAAAAGTATCATAATTTATACATCTCCTGTTAAAGGACATCACTGTGGCCAGTTTTGTGCAAATAGATCAGTATTGAAATGGACATCCTTGTACCTTTTTTTCTACTTCTGTCAGCATGTCCTTGGAATAAATTCCTAGAAATAGTGTCCGAGAGTTTAAATATCAATAGCTCTTGCCAAATTTGCCTTTCAAAGAAGTTGTGTCATTTTGCTCTTGTGCACAGTGGATGTATAAACTGTTTTAATCTTTGCCAAACTGATAGGTGGAAATAGTTTCACATTTGTATTTGTGTGTTTATCATTCTTGAGTTAGTTTGATCCTCCTTGCTTGTCCAGAAGCTGTTGTTTTTGTTTTTTTTTAAGAAATGTGGACATTTCTAGACATCCTGCATTTGTAGCCAGTCATTAAGCATGAGGCAGCTGAGACTAGTGAATAGGAAAAAAAAAACTGAACTTGGAAGTGGCAGACCTGGGTTTTGTACCAGATCTGCTACCTTCTAAGAAGCTTCAGATAAATCTGGCAGGATTCTTCAAGTGGTCAGGGAGGTAACCTAGAGATTAAGTAACCTGTAAAGATTACCCAACAAGAACGTCTCTAGTAATGCCCTCATGTCGTTCATGCTTAGTAACAGTTATGGTTAACATTTACTGAGCGCATGCTGTATGCTAAATTCTGAAGCATTTTACACATGCCGGTACATTTAGCGATCGCAAGACAATCCAGGGGTTTTTTGAACTACAGTTGTCACCATGTTACAGAAGAGGAAACAGGCAGAGAGGGAGGTAAGATTACTTGCTCATGGTCACACAGCCAGCAGTCTTCATTCCAGAGCCTGCACTCCAGTTTTTTAGGAGGAGACACATGCTAGAGCCGCCCTGTCCAGTAGCGTAGCCTCTAGGCTCCTGTGGCTATTAAGCACTTGAAATGTGGCTAGTCTGAGCTGAGATGAGGTATAAGTGTAAATTACACGTCTGGTTTTAAAGATTGATGTGGAAAAATCGAACGTAAAGTGTCCTGTTAACTTTTTTGATAACGATACATTTTGAAATGATAATATTTTAGATAAATGTTTTTTAATTTTATCCTTAAAAAATGCTGTCATCCAGTTACTAGATTTTTATTTCCATTGGGCCATGCTGTCCTAGAGGGAAACCATTGGACTTACAGCTTTAAATACTTAGCACACAGCCAGCAGATGGGTCCAAGCCTTCCATACACCAGGCGTTGTATTGGGTGAGAGTCCAGGAGGCCACAAAGCAGAATCAGGCATTGCCGGGGATGAGCCCACAGGCCAACAGGCAGGGCGGGTGGGCGTGCTCTTGACTTGGTTGACGCCGAGCTGACCAGTCCGTATCTGCTGTTGATCTTGCTTCGGCTAGGTGTCCGCCTGCATCCCGGTGCTCAAGCTGGCCAGACGGCGTAAGAAAATCCTGTTTTATTGTCACTTCCCAGATCTGCTTCTCACCAGGAGAGATTCTTTTCTGAAACGCTTGTACAGGGCGCCGATTGACTGGGTAGAGGAGTACACCACGGGCATGGCGGACTGCATCTTGGTCAACAGCCGGTTTACAGCTGCCGTTTTTAAGGAAACATTCAAGTCCCTGTCTCACATAGACCCCCATGTCCTCTACCCATCTCTGAATGTCACCAGCTTTGACTCCGCTGTTCCTGAAAAGCTCGATGACCTTGTCCCCAAGGGGAAGAAATTCCTGTTCCTCTCCATCAACAGATATGAAAGGAAGAAAAATCTGACTTTGGCACTGGAAGCCCTAGGAGAACTGCGTGGAAGGTTGACATCCCAGGATTGGGACAAGGTTCATCTAATCATGGCCGGTGGTTATGACGAAAGAGTCCTGGAGAATGTGGAACACTATCAGGAATTGAAGGAAATAGTCCGACAGTCCGGCCTTGGACAGTGTGTGACTTTCCTGCGGTCTTTCTCAGACACACAGAAAATCGCACTTCTCCACGGCTGTACCTGTGTGCTTTACACACCGAGCAATGAACACTTCGGCATCGTCCCTTTGGAGGCCATGTACATGCAGTGCCCAGTCATTGCTGTGAATTCGGGTGGGCCCCTGGAGTCCGTCGTCCACGGCGTCACAGGGTTTCTATGTGAACCTGATCCAGTGCGCTTCTCAGAAGCGATGGAAAAGTTCATCCATGAACCTTCCTTAAAAGCCACAATGGGACTGGCTGGGAGAGCCAGGGTGAAGGAAAAGTTCTCCTCTGCAGCTTTTACAGAACAGCTCTACCAGTACGTCACCAAACTGCTGGTATAATCCAACTTTTTTTAAAGGCCTTTTTGCTATATTCGTTAGTATCATTTTTTATAGATTGTAGACTCACTTTTGAAACCGAAAAAGAAACCTAAAATCTATTGCAGAAGAGATTAAAAGAAAAATGCACTTGAATCTGAACCACTTCCCCATGCACCACTCCTTTTCATCTACTTTTTAAGAAAAATGGAATATCTTTTATGCTGTAGTTATTCCACGTCTTACTAGTGTTAAGATATAAAAATGGTACAATTCCACATTCATCAAAAAATTTCAATTATAATTCTCTAGATTATTATTGCTTTGACTGTAAATTTTGAGTTATAGTGTGCCTTGGTACACTATAGTTTAATTGTATCATCATTAAAGTTGATTAATTTGGGTTCATAGCATGAGAACAGGATCACTGTAGTCCCCAAAATCAGTGCATTCACTATCCTGTGTTAGTAAATTTTTGCTAGTCATACCTTCTCCTGGACCCATAGCAAGAATGTTCTGTACTTTTTTACAAAGATGATTTATTATATTTTTGCACATTGAGATGTGACAGTAAAATATGTTTATCATAGGAAAAGAAAGCATACTAGATTTTGGCCTCTGTGATCTGGGATCGTTAAGAGTGTGGATAGCCAAGCCTGAAGTCTGAAACTAGAGTAAACAAGGTGTTAAAAGTAAGAGGACGTCCTCACTCATGGGTGTGCGTCTGATGTAAGTTTGGTTTCTTCATGTCATCTGAGTCATCGGCTTTGTTAGTGTTGGTGTTTGGTTAGGGAAGCTCCTACTAAGCATAAGACATAATTGCTTTGTGTCCTTCAAGTCCTGCACCAGATGTCATGGTTGTGGAGCTTTCCTTGACCCCCACCCCTTTCCTCCTCCCTCCTGCCAGCCTAAACGTGGTTCTCCTCTGCCATGGACCCTAGCCCTTTTGTGGCCCGGACCAGTCTTAGAGTTTCTTACTTACCTGTTGGCCTAAGTACAAATAAACGTAAAGCACTTTTCAACATATCTTCACAGCTAAATTCTTTTTTTTTTTTTTTTTTACTTTTTTTTTAATTC